TCCCCCCCCCCCCCCAGGTTTGGTACATGAACGAATTCTGTCTTATTTGAGCTGAGACCAACTTGTAGTTTTTTTTCCTTCTCTTTGCTCATCTGTTACCTTAACTATTTGGAATTTGCGCAGTCAAAACTTCAGTCTCACGGTGACAGCACAATAGCGTAGTACAGATCGGCACGCACGTTGACACGTCATCGGAGTTCCCGAAAGACATTCACACGTGCACACACGGACTTCCTTGAAGACAGGAAGGAAGAACGATCTGATGAGGAAACACATTTGTCACGTCTTGCACAAAGCGCACACGACGTCTGCTCAAGTACAAGTCTTCATTTTTGGAGTCTTTTTTTAATCTCCGAATAACCACGCGGCCGTCTCATGGTTGTTAGGTAGAATAATTTATTGCAGCTCTTAGACTTCCTTGAAGACAGGAAGAACGATCTGATTAGGAAACACATTTGTCACGTCTTGCACAAAGCGCACACGACGTCTGCTCAAGTACAAGTCTTCATTTTTGGAGTCTTTTTTTAATCTCCGAATAACCACGCGGCCGTCTCATGGTTGTTAGGTAGAATAATTTATTGCAGCTCTTAATTTATTCCTCTGTTTTAAAGTCATCAACAATACTTACATGTTTAAAAGGCAGAAGCATTTTACAGCACGCGCGCACGCTACAATCAAGATGACGAAATAATGGCAGCTCGTCGTGGCCGTTTTCGTACAGGTCTTCATTTTTGGAGTCTTTTTTTCCATCTACGAATAACCACGCGGCCGCCTCAGGGTTGTTAGGTAGAATAATTTATTGCAGCTCTTCATTTATTCCTCTGTTTTCAAAGTCATCAACAATACTTACATGTTTAAAAGGCAAGAGCATTTTACAGCACGCGCGCACGCTACAATCATGATGACGAAATAATGGCAGCTCGTCGTGGCCGTTTCGGGTCGACGTTGTCAAGGCGACACATCGCGATGATGGAGAACAAAAAGTGCCTCCGGAGCATCCAGTTCAAATGCTTTTCTTTTTGTCATTTATCGAAGCATACTCTCACGATCACTCCGGTGCTATTTACAGCAGCAAGATGAGCAGGGAGAGAGCGTATTGCTTTCAATTTCTCCATTCCTAAATCGACAGTGAGGAGTTTCAGATGACGAAGCTAGATCATGGCACAAAAGATGAGCGATGGAGCTGAAAAGTCAAATATTTTTGTTTTTTACAAATAAAACCTTAAAACACACTAAAGACACCCAAGTTAACGCCGCGGAGAGGGTCAAGTTGTGCGTTACATTCGTTTTTGACCTTGACAAAACCTTCTGTTTATTGCCGTTGTAAAGAGATGCTCTGCAAAATACTCGAGCTGCTATATTAAATCATGAGGATGTTGCTAGCTACTCCAAAAGGCCTGGTGATAAGCATATCTTTTGTTTTTTTGGGGGGAGGGGGGAGGGGAATAACACTTAAGATATTCTTGCCATCCTTATCGGTTAATCAGCGCGAGCGTGAGGACTCAAAGTTGGCTTCATGTGACACCAGGTTGGACAAAAAAGCAACTTGAATGATTCAACCACTTCAAGTGGTGTGCGGCGACGCGTTATCGCCAGTCGTGCTCTTTCACATGATGCCGAACAGGCTGCTGCGGATCATCTTATTATGCCAGCAGCCTTCCAAATAAAGCACATGACAAGGAAGAATCTGGAGCTGAAGATGACTTTCGCAGATGTGAGTGATAATGCACTCTCGACTGCCTGGAGCGGTTCCCCCAAAAACTTGGAAAGTGTAACAGATTCCAGGAAGAGGCCAGGATTTTTTTTTTTTTTTAAACGACTCTGACTTTGAACTGGGGGGCCATTTTGAAGCAGAAGTACAACTACATGAGTGGGAAATAATGTGAGAACTTCGCATACGGTCGTCTAATTAAGACATTAACCAGACGTAGCACACATACGGTACATCCATGATGAATGAATCCTTGGAGTTTTTACACAAACAATAGTGCATGAAAGGCTTGTGCAGCAGTGTGCGTTTGTCTCCAAAAACAGTGGCATATGTGAATATAAGACATACAAAATAGATCGGATCTTTGAAAACCTCAGCAGTAACGCATGTGACAATGCCATCAATCAAGAGTTAAAAAAAAAACCCCACAAACCAAACTGCTGGTTACACGCTTTGACGCGTGCCACAAACTCAGGTATGTGAAACCGATGAGCCCAAATGTGCTTTGAGTCTTCCACCAGCTCCGTCAGTCTGAGTCTTTTCCACAGGTTTTCTTTGTGTGCAAATGGAAAGGCTTCAATGGCCATTTCGACGTCGCGTGCCGCCAGCAGGTCGCAGCGCGGAAACAGCCCGCAGCCAAGCCGGGCGGTTCAACGCTTCGCGGTCGTCTGGGATGTGTGGGAAATGTGTTTTTAGTCCAATTCGGGTGAGTCAGGTGTTTCCGTGTGCTCGTCGCCATTATCTTTTTCATCTTCATTCGGCTGAGGCGAGTCTCTCCCCACAGAGGCCTCCCCCTCTGGCTCATATTCCCCCAGCGGATCCTCGACAGCGTCACGGGTGGGTATGAGCGCTTCCAAATTCGGATCCGCCCTTAACGTCTCATCGGTCTCGGGGCGCTCTGTCGGCGAGACTTGTTCCTCAGGCTCACTTTCCCTTGCTTCTTCCTCTTTCTCGGCATCGCTGTCCTCATCCAGTCTCATGAGAAAGGAGGCGGGGGCGGCGAGGGGATTGGCGCAGGGGTGGAGGTGCGGCGAGTCCGCAGGGGGCAGCAACGTCAGCGATTCCACGCTCAGGGTGTCGGCGTTGCTGTCGGTGAGGAGGGAGATTGTGGGCTGGGAGGCCGGGGTGAGGCTGGGGGCCAGAGTCGGCGGCGGGCCGCCTCCCTCGCCTTCTCCGCATGACGAGGACGGAGGAGTGCTCTCCAAGAAGGTGCCGTCATCTTTGGGTGCAAAAAAGCCAACGTTTACGTTTTGAGTTGACGGCTCCGTTGATGATTCTTTCTCTCTCTTTCTTTATCCTGCTTCCATTCTCCATTTCATATCACGCGTCTTGGCTGCCACGCTTTTCGTCGTGCGGATGTTTTTGTCACGTTGTTGGATAAACGGTGATTGGAAAGCACGGTACTTCAAATTATATTGTAGTGTAGAGGTTCTCTCTCTCCCCCATATATATATATATATATATATATATATATATATATATATATATCTCTCTCTCTCACACACACACACACACACACACACACACACACCTATCTATATATATATATATATATCAAAATATAGATATCGATATATGTATCTCTAAGGAATGTGTATGCATGACTGTTCTCTACCTGCAGGGCTTTGAGCTGAAATGGTGCTCGTCGTCACCGAGTCGCATCGTCCCGTGCTTCCACTCCCACTGGAGGGAGTTGAAGGGGAAGAGAGAGGAGAGGGGGTGTGCTGCGAGACACAGTGAGCCACTGCGAAGCCTGCGGATGATGCGCATAGCCATGAAACGCACAGATGGCCGATGAATATGAAACCAAAGCGGATCATCGCAATCTTACCGGGGACTTTATCAACCGAGGCGAAGACGGCTCTGCTGGCCGTGGGATCATTGGGCGCTCGCCGTGACTGCTCATAAAAACGGAAAGGGAGACCGCCGGGGGATGCGTTGGCCGTCTGTCCGAAACCCAGCACCTCCGTCGTACTTGGCTGCACAGGCAGGTCCAAAAGAGCTGCGTGGTGAGATGTGACGGATTGAAAAAAGTTCCGGCAACTCAACTACAAATGTGGTGCGGTAGGTAGGAAAGACGCGACTCAATGAAAACAGACTGCTGTTAAGCCATTAAAAAACAAGTTTTGGTGCCCAGTAAAAGTAGCAAGCAAAGCAAAAAGTTTGCAAACCTGATTTAGAACTGGCTGATCTCCTTTCATATTCAAAGATGGCGCCGCAAGAGTGGCTGCCTTGACAGCAGCTCCTATCTCTGTTTAAATTTTTCCGTCCTTTTATTTAATTATGTCTCTGGGAATTTCTCAACTGTGAGACATAATAGTTTTCTTTTCTTATCTTTCTTATCATCTTGTGAATAAACAAATCTATTTTCACATCCAGTTGTAGTGAAGGTTCTCGTTGTGAGTGGCTCAGTTTTATTCTTTTACAGCAAGTCACAGGGCAAAACACATTTTCCTTGTCGAGACCAGAATATCAGAAGGAGGAAGGAGATGTGACTAATAAAATTACCCCCCCCGTGTTTATTGTGAGTGGCTCCGCGCTGGCTTGGAACAAGCGTCTGGCAGTGGATGTCGGGCAAGGGCTGGGTTACACACAAAATAGGTTTGTCTTTGATTGATCTTCCACAACTGTCATTTTAACAAGGGGACATTTATTTCACGGAGGTGCGACCGAAAATAAAAGCATCAGGTAGCTTTCACCGAGTACGACAAGTGACCTGACGATTGGATGGAGACTGGTTTTAATTATTTAATGTTTGTCTTTGACTTCCTTGACGCCCCCATGTGAATTTCCGTGAAAAGCAAGCTGCATACTAACTCAACATTAAAGTCTCCGCCTTCTCACCTGCTATTCTCTGCATTTTCATGCGTGATTGGATGGAGACTGGTCTTAATTATTTCATGTTTGTCTTTGATTTTCTTGACGCCCCCATGTGAATTCCCGTGAAAAGCAAGCTGCGTACTAACTCGACATTTAAAGTCTGCGCCTTCTCACCTGCTATTCTCTGCATTTTCATGCGTCGTGCTTGGATGCGGCCTTTGGCGAGCCTTTGCTTGGCGATGATGCAGCGGATGTGGTCGGCAAAGATGAAGTTGGCCTGGAGGATCGGCAGCGGCTTGGCGTGGGGGTTGGAGCTGGGCTTGTGGATGATGATGTTTAAAGCTCGGCTGTCATCTTCCACGCCAGACACCTGCATGTCCTAGTGGCAGGAGGAAGGGCGAGAAAAAGGATTTGATGAGGTTTCGGTGGACGATGCAAACCAACAAAGAAAGTAAGT